TTACTACCTGCAGTTTATATTTCCAAGAAAAGGGGTTCCAAAGAGAAATCTCAAATTAAGGAAGCGGAATATGTGTCACATATATGGCAAGTTTTCACTTACAAAGTAATCTTAAGCAATGTAAATAAGCTAAAGTAAATGTAACAACACATACTTTACAATTTACAGAAATTTTAGATGAAAGACAGAAAGCCTTTCAACAAAAACAAAATAAATAATACTTCATTAGGTATTTATTCTACTTCCACATTTATAACAAACTTTCAACTGCATGATGTATATTGATGCTTAAAACTAAATGCACTGATCATCTTGTTAAAGGAAATTTTTCTATACAAAGGAACAGAGTCCTTGCAAAGAATAGGGAAAATTAAATATATGTTTTAAGACTTTTCTGTGGAGACAGGGAGATAGCATACGTCAATATTTACTGTTCTCACTAAGTTACTACAAAATGTTTGTTTTCATTGCTGAAAGTAATTTGCACAGTGAAGTTTTGCTGATAGTTGAGAGATGGCAAGGTGCTCTGTGCTAAGCCAGCAGAATATGTGCCAGCCTTGAACACATCAGGTCTGGCCAAAGGCAATTAGTGCAATAAAACTTTTTAAAGATGAAAGGTATTCTACAGAGGGGGTGAGAGCAGAAGACACTTATATCGTGCTGAAGACATCTTACCATATATTTACTACCATTATAAAATCCTAGCACAGATAAAATATTTCAAAGAAAACACCCCCTAGCCAGTCATCTCCAAAAGAGATTTTTCCACCCCTTCCTCATTCAGGAAAGTATGAAAGTCTATGGCCTTTCCAGAACTCATCACACATGTGTTCCTCTGCTGGTCTGAGATTGGAAATTTGCATCCCAACCTCCCTGGACCACAGTGGGCAGCGAGGCAAACCATTTCATGCTCAACCATGTTGTGGTCACTGCCTGAGGAAGGTGCTGGAGGGACGTCAGAGAAAAAATAACACCAAACACACGCACTTGAAGGTAAGCAGCATCCTGGGAAACAGCAACAGCAGAAGAGGACGTGACCTGGCACGGCGAGGCGTGCTGCAGCTCGGACCCACGCGTGCAGGCCTGGCTGGGAGAGCGGCACAGGCCGCACTGCCTGCGGGGCAGCACAGTCACTCTGTGTTCACACTCCACAACATCCCAAAAAGCATTTCTAAGCGTGCCAAGGTTTGGTTGCTGCCACAGATGAAATGCAAACATTTATCTTGCAAAGTGCAGGTGCTATCCTAAGAAGGTATAGGTTCCTCTGAACAGTCTTAACCAGATTTTAAAATTGAAAGCATTTATCACTTAAGATTCCAGTCTTCATACCTCTCCACAAAGCAGTCAGATGTTTCTCCATCCTGCAAGAGGGACTTTGACTGTCACGTCAGTGGTGCTCTGCTGATGGGGCAGCAGGTGCAGGGGAAGTGCTGCAGAAGGTGCCATAAGCAAGTATGAGCCAAAAAATTATGCCAGGAAGAGCTCTGGGGATAAACTCTTTCCTTGGAGATGTCACTATCTGTTTTCTGGACTGAGCAACTGTGTGTGGATGCTCATGCTGTCCTCTGCCTGCCCCCAGCCCATCCCTGCTTTGGTCTGATTTACCCTGAAGCTGGCAGAGAATTTCCTCCTTCTCCTTCTGCATATGAATTTTGACCACAGTAACTATCTGTCTCATCATTTCCGTATGTAGAACTAGGAAAGATCCGGTCTCCTGGAGGGAAGTTTTATCTGTTAATAATACAGAGCTCACCATACCTCACCATAGTAGAAATGGGCTTCTCTACAGCTAAGAAATGTGCACCTTTTGCTCCTTCCCTTATTGAACACACATTGCTATATTTCTCCACAGAATCTTTATTCCTGTATTCTGGGGAAGACCATCAGTGTTCACAAATGCAGAAAAAACTACTTGCAATTACACTGCCAACACAAGCCTCCAAGAAATGTAGAGTGCACAATACCTTACTACTTATTTTTATTCCATAGTACCTGGGGGTACAAGTCCCTAGCAAAGGACATCTGGCTCCTATTTGTGAAAATGGTGGTTTGTGGGTTATGATTTGTACGCACCAGTGGGATTTTGGAAGAAAACAATTCAGCAGTTAAGCACGTTTCATCATTTTCATGTATGGCAGGGGAAATATATATAGTTATATATGTCCAATGAGATCAGGAAGATAATTTTTGAACTGAAACATTTGATTTTTTTACATCATTTATATAATTCCTCTTAAACTGCTGTTTTTCTTTTTAAAATTAGCATCAGTGTTTGCTTCCTGTGTGAAACCCGGTTTGTGTTTGACCAATTAAAGCAAAGATAAATGTGTCAGGAAGCTGTTCAGAGTACAGTACCTTAGCTGCAGAATAGAGCTTCTCCGAGTAAGTGAAATGAGAGTCGGTATCACTAAAAATAAACTGTGCAATTCAGTTGTGGCTGGAAAATTACTACCGAGATTGGCAACTTCATGCAACTATTTCTATTACTTTGTTTCATTAGGTAAAGTAATAAATACTTCATAGGAACACTAAAGCAAGCTTCATTTTATTCCATATTGTGGATATCAAACAATACTGCTAGCAAAAGATTGCCTTTAGGGCAGGAAAATGTTTTATTCTCCACTCCTGTTCAGTCATGAGTGTTTCTGCTGGTTCTGCCAACAAAGATGCCAATTAGTGTCAAGTAACATTTTGGTACTGCTGATGAGATACAAAACAAAGGGAACACAGTATGGTGAAATGAATTTACTGTACTAAGAGATAGAAAAATACTTTTTTTTTTCCCCAATTAGACCTAGAATTCAGTGAGATGGGGGGAAAAAAGAGAAAAGAGAATACCACTCCTGATGTTTTGCAGTTTATATCCCCAATTCGGTGCTGAGAGTTCTCATTTCAAGCACCCCTCTTAGAGGAAGACAGCATGACATGAACCTTCAGAATACCCAGATCACATCCAGTCGCTGAGGTGAACCTCAAACCAGCTCTGTGTTAATTCTACTAGTACTTTCCTCAATATTTTGAACAATAACTGGACAAGTTGTTTCAGTGAAATCCAGAGGAGAATGAAACCTCCTGCTTAGGAGTGTTCACAGAGCACATCCACTTGTAAAGATAAATTTAAAGGACATAACACAGTTTTATTTTACTTCCAGCTTCCCCATGAAGTCAGTGTGAAATAGCTGAGTTACCTTTACCCAAATAAAAGCTGAGTGAGGAAGATGATGGTACCTTCGAGTGAGAGGGCCACTTCCTCAGCAATCAATCAATTCCCAGTGCCCTACCTCCAGTCACATCATGAGATTGACATTGCTTTTTAAAAGGACAATTTGCATGTGCTCTTGACTGCTAGAAGAGGATGGGCATGGGACAAAGCTGCAAAACTGGACAGGGCAATCCATAAGGTGAGCAGGGCCAGCATCACTCAGGAATTCCAGAAACCCAGCCTGACAGGGGCAGAAATTGTTTCCCTGTCAAGGTGCATTGCTGAATATTTGCCTTAGTTAAGGAAACAATGGCTGATCTGCAATAAAAGCCATATCCTGACTTTCTTAGCTCTGCAAAGGTTTCACTAGCGAAGTACATCCAGCTCTGCACAAAATGCCAAGTTCTGACTTTATTTCCTCTGCATAAACACCAATAGGAGCATAACTCTCATTTCTGTTTGTTTGGAGTTATTAATTTTTTTTTAAAGGAAAGTTTACATTGAATATAATATACAGAAAATGCTTGGATAAAAATAGTTATGAAATCATTGCTGCTATAAAGAGGGGGGGTGGGTTACCTTTCCTGTCCATCAAGCTCCAAGCAGTTGGCACCCTATAAATCATAGGAAGCACAGAGGTAATTATAGAACTGGAAACTGATTACTGTAAACATTCAGAAGTAGCTCGTAGCAATTGGAAGCTAAAGATAATGTGAGCACGATTACAAACACAAAATAACTGTGCAGGTTACTTATAACCCCATTTTTCTCTATTCCTTAAAACTAGGTTTTCTCACAAAGCAACAAATAACATAAGCAATCTAGCACCTTGTATATTAACAACCTGTTAATACCCTGAATTGTCTGTGCTCTGTCAGAATTAGTGTTGATGTGACAACATTCGGATCACCAGGATCTGATTCCTTTCCCCTTGTGCATTAAGCAATGTAGCTAACAGCTTCTGCCAGTTTCTTCTGTCATCTCCTGGCACTTCTTCATCACTCCCAGAAGCCTTGAAATGTGTTTATGGTGGAAAATGCCTGGTCAAAGAAGGGCAACTTGCACTGAGAGTAGATGATGACAACATGCAAAATGGGTTTTTAGTGCCAGGCACATTCATTTTTTCTCCCCCTGAGCAGTACAGAGGGAAAACAGTCTCCTCCTTAACAGAGGGAGCTCCTTGGTGAAGGTGCATCTGCCAGGCACATTGTGCTGGACTGTGAAGAAATATTTGATTTCTGCCTCAAAGAAGTTACAACACCAGGACAAATATAATAACACTTCAGCTGAAAGCAACACTCTCTTTCTTGCCCAAACATACTAGAGTGACTCTACAACATGATCAAGGAGGAAAGCTGCTTTTCTGGCATCAGACTGTGCTCTGCTCCTGACTTCAAGGAGCAAGATATACAGAACCTGTCATTTTTATTCCACATAGATCATTTAGATTATTTATGGCTCTAATCCCTACTCAATCCTTACAAAGCTATTTAACTCAATTACACATATCACTGATAACAAGTTTCACAAGTTAATCACCACAAGTGTAAGAGTATTGATTTTCATCCACATCCTCATGTTGTTATACAATCCCAAACTCTAGCTGCATTCTGCATTTGAGGCAGAATTTTCAAAACTAATACAACAAGCTTTTGAAAAAGCCACCCTTCATTTAAGAAAGTTACATAGTTTCCTATCTGAAATTATTTAGAGCTTGGACATAGTATGACTAAGAAGGCAAGAGCCCCTTCATATGATTTGACCTGAAGAAAGTGCTACCTGGCAGTAGATTTCTCACCGTGCTGTATAATCCCATGCTCCAAAAGTCTGCGGCCAAGCTGCTCTGCTTCAGTCCGTGTCGTGGCCTCTCCTTCCTGGATCAGCCAGTCAATGAACTCTGCTGCCACAAAGGTCCGTTCATACTTCACTCCTTCCTCTTCCCTCGCTTGCAGAAGAGTATTTTCAGAACTCATTAGCCTGGTTTGGGAGGAAAAAAAATTAGTAGGGAAAATGGTTGTTCAGAAAAGCAACTCCTGATCTACTCTGACAAATCTCACCGATACTAAACAAACATGTGAACCTTTCACTGACTTGTTAAATCCTTCCTCAAGCTATGAATCTAAATCTATGTGAATTATAACTGCTTAGTCAAGAAATTTAGGTTTTATGTCCCTGTATGAAGTTACTGCTTTATTGTTTTTTTCCCTAAAAGAAAACAAGGTTTTTCAGTTTGACATTCCTCCTATTTAGCTCTTTAGCTACTCTAGAAGTTATTGTGTAATCAACTTTGAATTAAAATTAGCTAAAAAGCACCAGATTGTGATGAAGATGTTCAAAAATTCCTAATTAATTTTTACTGTTAGCAGGACTATGCCCCAAAATAATTCAGATGGTTTTAAAAATTCTCCTTGTAAGTTCTAAAACAGCTGCAGAAAAATTCAAGGGAAAGGAAAAAAAAGTTAGGTAGTTTCTGTGTTTTGAGTGGTTGATAAATATTTAGCTTCCAACAGTCACTGATGCAGCTGCAGTCAATGAAGTTACACACCTGAACACATTTTGACATCTGAGTCTCAGACTCTCTGTGCCTCAGCTGACTCCATGTAACACCAGAGTTTAGAGGAACATCAGGATGTGTCTCTAAATCTCCTAGCAACTGGCATGTACCTAGGTTAAATACTCTAACAAAACTTTTCTCTGTTGAAGTAACCTATACAAATGACATAATAGAAAAAGAAAAAAACCTTAATATTTTGTTAATGCAAAATATTGACTGTTTGAAAGAGAACACAGGTTGAAAGAAGAAATGATAATCACTCCCTTTCCCGTACAGAATCCCTTTTTTTCTGTTGTTGTTGTTGTTGAGAGACCAAGCACCACAGCCTCCTTATTTATTTATTTATTTTTTCTTTATAATTACTTTATTTATTATCGGCCAATAATGGGATTAGTGGTAAGACTTTCAGAATAAAGGCTCGAGAATAATGTGGTTATTTTGATAATGTAAGAATAATGTAAGAATAATAACTGTCCTCCCTTCACCAAATATTTTGAAATTAAGGGCACAACTGAACTACAACAGGAATATTCTGGAAGCACTTAATCTTGCCTTCCAGATCAAAAAGCTGAATTTCATGTACATCCATATATGGGCTATCTCTCTTGAACTGCCAGCATGTCCCGAGTTCAAGGAAGATAAAATCACCTCCTTTGGGAGGCATCAGAAAAATCTGTGCCATAAGAACACAGAGAAGAGTTTAATTTGAAATTACAATGAGGAGATTTGACAAGACCCAGCCCTTGTGATTTCAGCTCAAAGACATATTCCCTTGACTTTAAGAAGAGCTAGCCAGAAGCCTGAACTGACTGGACCTGACCACCGGGCAGCAGATCACCAAACCAGGCAAAGGCTGCTCAGCCACAGTGTATGTCAGTGGCAGATGCAATGAACTGCTCCTTTAGATCTTGGTGCGTCACTGCCAGCACCTCTGAGTTGAGAAAGAATTAAGAAAGCCAAAATTAGCTGAATTGAGGGATGATGCCAAAAGCAAGTGTATGTGCCAAAGCGGACAAGGTTTTGACTCCAGAACTTTATTCTTTTTCATATTTTGATTTACAAGCATCTGCATGCAAGGCACCATTTTGTCCCACATTAACCACATCTAATGCAGACAGCACTCCAAGGGACCATATTCAAAAGGGTCTCATTCACCAGGCTTTTTTCCCCCCGAGAAAAAAATACAAAGCCAAGCGCATGTCTTTTTGTACCATCAGCTGCATGGTTACCCAGAACTGGTTACCCAGGCTCTGCAGGCACTAAATAAAAAATCCTTAGGATTATTTTAATTGTTCTTTGATGAGTCTATAATTAGTTGACTAGCTCATTGAAGTCACAGATAGAGAGGTCATTGAAAAAGAGATGCTAATCGTCAGAATTTTACAGAGACACAAAAGAAATCTGGAAAAATATCAAGTGGAAAAACACTCAGCTTGACATTTCACACCCTTCTGCATGTGCCCAGAATAGAACTGCAAAGGATTTGGACTTGTGAACAAACAGACACAACAAACTGCCAGTTTAACAAACCCAGAAACAGAAATCCATAGGCTTACATTGCTAACTGAAGTAAATCACTGTAACTCCATGGCTGTCAGCAAAGCTGTACCAATTTACATCAGCCAGAAACCTGACCTTTCATTAGCCAGAATTGGAAGCTGCCTCTATCTCTCCCATTTTCTCCTTGTTTCAAAAAACCATGAAGCTATTTATGTCAAAACATACTATTTGCTAAAAGTGGTGTTATCCTGCATTAAGTGAATGTATTTAGCAAAATACTGAAATTCAAACCCTTTTCAGAAGAAAATTTTAACCTTGTTTTGCCTGAATAACTGCACCAGAGGATAAATTTGACTTAACCACTGATGAGTTAAAATGAAAGTGAATCAAAGAATGCAGTCTCAAAATTATCTGAATGATTTCCTGAAATTAAAACCATAAATCTGCACTACTTCCACTGTGAAATCTGGTTGAAAAATCTCAGCTGGAGTCAACATCACGAGATGACATAGCTCCTAAACCTGACTGCAACAGAAACAACAATCCTGTGTGCTTGACAAAAACATACTCAGATTTGCAAACATCATATAAATAGATTGCTGTGCAAGTTGTTTTTTGTGGTTAGTTTGTTGTTTGGTTTTGTTGTTTTTTTTAAAAAAAAAGCTATGAAAGGTCTGTGCTGGATTTATTTAAGATTTGGAGGGAAGGTTTTGTCGAAACAAAAATGTTGAAACGTTTATCTCATTCGACCTATCTGGTCAGTCCAGTAGAGTATGAAAACAGATACCTTCCTTTGACCTAAAAAACTATTCAACAATTTTCAGATAAGACTGTAAGAAATCCAGTAGGTTTCATCTCTAGTTATAAACTTGAACCTCAACGCGTGTTCACAGAAAGGATCACCAACGTTTGCAATGATGTGCAGTGAATCTGAAATGATTTATCCTTTTCAGTACAAATGAAGGGAGAATACAAAGACTTATTTTAAATCTTCTAATCACATAGGTACAGCCATCGAAGATGTCTGCAGCAGGTGAAGGAGGTAATGCCACAAGAGAGGAGAATCCACGTGACAAGGAGTTTTGTGATCATACAGAAGGGAGACAGGGAGAGGGAACTCTTCAACAGGGGGCAGTCCTGGTGTTCTGATGTCCCAGGGGAGACCACAGGGCATTTACCCAAAAATGAATGCAGGAAACATGACTAATGCATCCATTCCTCTCCCCATGCAACAACCTGCTGATCCTTCTAAAGCATTTTGCTCATTTTATCCATTGAGAGTACAAATCTGCATGAACTGATGCTGGACAACATGTCTGCAATTTTGGCAAATGCAAACAACATTGGCTTCTGAGTGGAACAGTGCTCCAGCCTTAATGCAGTGGGTGGAGAAGAGCAGGAAATAGTATTATAATATCTATCTGAAACTAGCAAAGCCTAGCAACATCTACAAAATTAGACACAGATTTTCAAAATATGTTGGATTCAGATAGATTTCCTTTGGCACAGTTCAATTCTCTTGAAATTAGTCCTACAGGCATTTTGATAAACGTTGAATATACTGGTAAGTGACTTTTCTCCAGTTGTCATTTAATAACTATTTTAATTGCACTGAAGTAATATTTTCTTTCTCAATACTATCAGCAAACTGATACAACAGACATGCACATATTTCATTGCAGAACTCTGTCGTAGTCTTGACTTTCAATATTAGATTTTGAGTTCAAAAAGCATCCAGTGAAACTGTGAAGGTGTTGCTAATAAACATTCATGGACAAGGGACCTAATGAAATGGGAGTGCTCTGCACACTAGATTGGCTACAATAAACAAAGTGAAGCCTAGATAGCCCAGGTATGTGTTCTTATCTCCCATGAATATAAAATATTTCCAGTGATCCATGGAGAATTTTGACTAGCTTTAACTGCCACAGACTGGTTTTGAAATTACATGTATTTCAAATCTATAATATATTTAGTGCTCAGGGCTGATTTTAAAAGTTTCTGATCCCTTTAGATATGTTGCTTAGGAGTGACCATGTCATGAGAAAGCAGTTATATTTAGATACAGGTGCTACTTTTGGTATTAACTCCTATGAACATTTTTCTGCTACTATGATGTTGGACAAACTGGACACTAGACATTGGTTTGGGGATAGTTCTTCATGCAGAGAGACAGGAATGGAAGCAGACAGTGGTAAAATGGAGTTCTTCCCACCATGTCTCCTTTCATGCAGAGGACTGTTAGCAGCCTCACCAACAAAAAAAAAAAATATTTTTTCTCACAGAAGGATAGAAATAGAAATACATAAAGGAAATAGAAAAAAGGGTTTGACACTGTAGACACACTGGCTGGCTTTTCACACTGTAAATAGCCGCAGTCACCGAGTCTCAGGGAATTTTATATGATGGGTGCAACACAAGGAGTGGCATTTACAGTTATTAGTTTACATTTCAGTTTAATTGCTTTCACCAAATTGACCTTCAGAGCCTTCAAACTTTGAAGATAATATTTATTATCAGCTTTTAAACTTGGGATTTTCCTGAGTACTTTATTCTAGGAGGGAAACAAAATTACTCCAACCCCAAAACAAAGCATCTCTCCTGGCTGCTACATGCTTCTGCTCTAACCAAGCGGGAGAGTAGGTGGCGTTCAGTCTGCAGTAATACCTCAGCCTTGTGGTAAATAACACTTCATAACTTTTGCATTAGTTTGTAGCATATACTAGCATGCATTTTATTCTCTGCTTGAAAGTACTGTGTCATAATCTTTACATCCTGATTGAAAATGTGATTAATTATAGATCAGGAAGAAAAGCAAAAGAGAAACAGAAAAGAGAGAGAAAGGTTACCAGTTGAAGTCACGGGATTACCCAGATGCATTCATGCATGATCTGAAAAAACTCTGACTATTTAAAAATAGATCAACAATATAATTTGCTTCCTGTGGTATTACTATAAACACATGATGGATACCGAATGTAACATACTTTTCATACAGTCTTTGTCCTCTCATGAACACCTTCACCTCATTGTCCAGTGGAAAGGTCCCGTCGTCTTTCCGGAAGCGGTAGAACAGTTTGGCATCCTTAAATTCCTTATGCTCATCACAGACTGAAACATGAAATAAATTTTAAAATCTTCCCATAGAAGTTAAGAAGCTGAGGATCCATTTAGCAAGCTTCAAAGCAAGCACATATGATGCCTAATCCCCTGTATTTCCAAGCATACAATTTTATTCAGTTCTAAGAACTGATGAAAAGCTGGAGAAAACTTTCAGATAGGTAACCACATTTCTAGATGAGGGAGATGATAGATGTTCATCACTTTTGTGAATATTACTGTGAACACAAAGAGAAAAAAAAGCATTCATCTGCTACAAACCCTGGAAAATCTTTTGATGAAACCAGTCTGTTTGTTTGTTTGTTTAAAAGGCTACTAATGTAGAATACCAAATAATTTAAGGATTGGCAAACTTCTTAAATTACTTGTACGAGTCGAGTAATGCTGTAGAAAACCTGAGACTTGCTGCAGAAACAGTTAAAATCAGTCTCCTGCCTTCTTAAAATTGCCTCAATTGCTCTGACAAGCCAGCTAGCAAATGGCAGATACAACAGCAGCATACTGAGATGCTAAATAAGGCTTATGAGACAGCAGCTGAAGATGGACTCTTGTAAATGCAGAAGAGAGCTCCAGCAAGGACACAGACTGATGGGAAAGATATCCCAACTGAGCTGCTCTGTCAGTGTTCTCAGCCCACATACCTGGGTTCACCTTTTGCATCACAGGAGCAGGAACTGTTACCCCTTTTACTTGACATAGGAGTTTAAAGGATGCTCTGAGCATCCTACAGAATCTGATGAAACCTCTCTCTTTCTACCCTAGCTCACTTCATGAAGTATTTTATTAAATCTGAGTACAATACATGAACATTTTCAAGAAACACCTGCTCCCTGTGCAATATACACACACATATATGTAAAATCTGTACAGAAGCTACAGTGTGCAATTGGATGCTGAGGTAGGAAACATCTGAAGGCTGTTAAAAGCCTTACAAGCGTTCAGCAATAAAACATCTATTGCTCAATTAAACTAAGTCACTTTGGCATCCACGCAACTCTTCACTGACATTTTCTCAATAGAGGATTAAGTAGTCAGACTTGAATACCCTATAATTACTTTATTCTTTAACTATCTACTGTGAGTCCTAGTTCCCATAACAACCCAGAATTTTAATTTAATACCCAAGGAGAAGCTGAAGAAGCAGCACTCATTCAATATGTGCATCACTTACTTTATTTAAGGTGTTGTTAATGTATTGCAGATAGCAGCAGTATTGCTGCACATACAGTGACCTCTGCATAAAGTCAACATTCATCTGTTTGCCGTCACTCACTTTGCTCTTAAGAAATGAACAAATGGTACATTTTGCCTTTTTGAAATGGGTAATACTATACGTTTGAAATCAAAGGCTTGGATTTTCTTTGTTTGGGTGCACCAAAAGGCAACTAAATGCTACCACTGAATTGGAAGTTTCCTCTTCATCAGCACAAATTGTTATTTAAGAAGCTGAAAGGAACAGATCTCAAATAGACAACAAATTTAGGAGAAAAATTAATCAGGGCACCATCAGACCACTAACTTTCTTACAGCTGTACCAGCACTAATGTTTGTGCAGCTGGTGTGAGGGACAGATCCAGAGAACTAATCCACATGAGAAAAATGACCTTTTTGTGCTAGTTGATTTTTCAGATGGATTTTTCAGCTGGAAAACTGTTCTCTGGGGAGCAAGGAGGTGAGTGCAGCAGGGAGACAGGGGACAGGATCCAAGCTGGGCTGCTCGGGAAGCAGGGAAGAAGCAGCACATTCTCCAGTGACTTCCCACCCCCGTACTGACGTAAGGAATGTCACTCCACACCTCTTTGGACTCTCCATGTCCCTTGTGCCACAGGGGACCTTGCAAAGCAGCACAGTTTAAGGGAGATGCTCCCTTTCTGACAGGGAAAGGATCCTACTTGTCCTGTACTTGCTTGAAGAACAGGAGCAGGATCTCTCTGTTTCACAGCAGACAGTAAAACCTAGCTCAGAAGGTTTTAGCAGCTGATATTGCACTTACCATGGTGGATAATGCTGTGGTCCAGTAATTTCTGCACCAGTTTAATTGCTGTCTCTCGGTCAGATGCCTCTTTATGGTCAATCAGCCAGTCAATCAGCTCTTTGGCAACAAAGCAGTTTGGGTAGGTCTTAAGGTGGTGACGTCGATCTTTAATAACCTTTTCTTCATGCAGTCGGAGCCTGGGGGTCAAATCACTATATAAGTATTGAGTGTGAAGAGCATTTGTAGTTAGCAAGGCTGGGACAAGAGTGCAGCAGATGCACCCAAGCCCTGCTCACAGGATGAGCTTTGCAGTTGTTGGATGGAAGAGGAAGAGACCTGGTCACACATCCAGCATTGGCATCTGACCACCAGGCAACCCACAGCAACCACTTATTACAACTTTAAACTCCATACTTGGAAAAACTGGGTTGCCGCCCAGTGGAAAAGATCAATAAATGAAGAACAGCACAGCACAGTAAGTCCATTAAAATATTTCCTGTAGGTCAATTAAACTGTCAATAATTTGGAATTAATTTTCTCACATTATCACTAATACTTTCCATGTTACTCTCTTATTTTGTGGTATCACTGCCATAGACTTTATATATATATATTTTTTTTATAGATATATATACACATATATATCTATCATTCTTTTTTTAGCTGTAGTTTCTTCCTCGGTTGGGTAACTGCATTTTGCCTCCAGCTGCACAACAAGCATACCAATTATGATTTAAAATTCAGGCACAATCAAACACAACTTTATCTAGCATAAAAAAGTTGCCTCCTACCCCAGATAAAGTACCCCATGCACAGGCAAACTGATTTCTTACTTGGGGAACCATTGGTAAATGGTATCTATCTGTAAAATCTCACCCATCATCTTGAAAGCAAGGTGGTTGGCTGGTTTTGAGATGCTTGGGTCAAAACACAATATCCTTACTAAGAGTACTGCATCTTTATCTTTAGTCATCCTTTTCAAAAATAAACAAAATGAGTAACATTATCAATAAATTAATGGATAGGGGGGCTTAAATGTTTTTTAGATTTTCTGCTTTCTTGTTTAAATTTTAATGAACAATTATAATAGTTCTGATTTTGTAGTTCCATGCCTATACAACAGTTCTGAAGAAAGCAGAGAAACCACAATGCTTGGACTCCTATTACAAACAGATACATTGCTGTTCATTTCCAAGTGTCTGGGATTGTACCTTGTAAACACTCTTACTGACTTCAAAGAAGTCCTGAGTAATGATACAATAATTGTCGGGATACAACTATCTCTGTTTTCTAGGGAGGGACATAGGGCATTAACCTCAGCCTCAAGAAGCACAGAGTAAGAGTTCAACCAATTTTCCTCTCAATGCCATTCCAGTATGAAACAATTATTTCGCTTTAGAATCCAAGAAAGGGAAAATAGTTGATTGAAATCAGTGAAGAAAATATTATTAGGGCATTACACAAGACTTACATAGGTTTCTGCCTAAAAACAGTAGGAAAGCAATGCTTTTGTTTTAGAGCATTTAGCCTTGAACTACACCGGAATGGCCAATCTGTGATATGAATTCAAACCCAGCTTTGCAAACATCATTAAAAAATGAAGACTTTTATATTTAAAATACTGATAAATCAGATTAATATTCTGGAAAGAAGTGCTGGTAAATAACCCACGCATTGTGAAATTCTCTGAGCTAAAATACCTTTGCTTAAAGCATATTTTCCAGATGTGCTCTAACGGCTGTTGCCGTACTTAGAAAGAAAAACCTACACAGTTTTAATTATAGAACATGCAATTATCACTAAGTCTGATGGAGATTTATATTTGAAATATATTCCATGTTCTGTTAGCGTGCATCCAGTTTTAGGTCGCACAACAATCTGCAAGACCAAAACTAGGGACAAGGCATACGCAGATGGCTCGACCCAGCTTTCAGTCACCAGCGTAAGGCGAGATGGATGGAATTCATCTAATACAAGAGGGAAACTCCCTTCTATGCAACTCTTTGTCCAAACATTGTGTAGGAGTGTGCCTGGACTGGTCTGGCATTCCACAAACAAGCCAGTAGCCAAGAGCCCCAGAAATTAGTATTATGGCTTAAATCCTGACTGAAAGCTTTCCTGTCGTTGATGGGCTTATAGATATTTCAAGTTCTCTGTCCTGTCAAAAAGCATGGGTTCCCACTACAACCTTTTTCCTCACTCACAGCATTTACAGGGTCTCTCTATACACCTTTTTGCCTACACTCATAAAATTCAGAAATTTCATTATCTCGGCTATCTCCACCTTGCTAAAGTGGATCCAAATTTACTAAGAGGTTACAAAATCATTAAGTCAAACAGAAAAAGGTTCAAGAAACTTGAAAACCCAAATTTGCTTACAATTTCCAGACGGAAATGGGAACTTTTTCTGTGGTCTATAGCAATTGTTTCCACAGTAAATTATGTCCAGGCTAATTTATTTGGAATAAAGAACAGAAAGAGAACTCACATTTTCTCCCTAGTGGTATACGCTGTTTTCTCTGTGCGTGCTCCCTTACCTCTACAAACCCACTAAAAATCAAGCTGTATGGAAAGACTGAAATTGTACCTCGTGTAAACTGCAAATATAAAAGACCCAGGTAAAGTTATTGAGCATCAATTTCAGTTGGCAAATCAAGAGTTTAAAATTTGTCCAAAAAATTTAACAAAATTAAAATTCCTCCCTCCCCCCCAAATCCGTCCACTTTCAAAAATATTTATCAGGAACCAAATGAAATGGGATAAAAAGGAAAAAAACTGCAGCAGTGAATGCAATTATACACTGGAACCAATGCTCAAGTGAAGTGGTCAGTTCTTTATCCTTTGGCATTTGGAAACAGGCTTCTCACCAGAAGACCTACACGTTTTCCCTTTAAGTAATGTGCATCATCTTTTTTCAGCTAGTCTGCATAATGACTGGAGAAGACCTAATCTGACACCAGTCACATTTCTCTTGCTATTAGTTCTTAAGAGCTGCTTAGCAGAATTAGCTCTCTGACAAACCTGAGCCAGTTTGAGGGGAAAAGAGGGAGACGGAGATAAACAAATGGTGATGAGGGGACACCTTGATTCAACAAGCCTTTGAAAAGTTGTCCCTTTTTTGACAGCTTAAGAGCTTAACACCAGAAAACAATCTTGTGTACACCAGTACATCATCTGTACGTAATACCGTATATTATCCCAGATTACCTGCCAGATTTTGCCCTTGGGGCCACAGCCTCCCCTACCTGCAGAAACCAATGTGAGAACTAAAGCATTTGAGCAACTGCCTGTGAACTCTGAGGCATATGCAAGCCTTTAATATTTACAAATTGATACCCATAGCTCTTATTCGTGCTTAGGACAAATAAAGACAGTCTGTGTTTGCAAGCACGCATGCCAGAACAGTTTTCTCAGGGGCCTGTCTAAGCAGGAGTTGCTCCTAATTAACAACATGTAGGGACTCTTGCTCCAAGTAAAAGTGCCTTTCTCCTGAGCAGCATGGAATGGGCGAACCCTGCTTTGCAGCAACCCTGGCCAGAGTTAATTGGGAACAATGTTACTTGTTGAGAGGCCATTAGGCAGTTTGCCAATTGTCATAAAAGTCATGATAATGGAAAAATCAAAATGCTTGCCTAGAAATGAAGATTCAGGCACTAACTTGGGAAAAAATTGCTCTCACAACTACATGAAACTTGCATTTTGTTTTCCACCAGAGAAATTGCGCATTTTGAAGGTTCTTGCATCTTTTTCTGAACCGATGGGTAAGGATTCTGCAAAGGCCATGCCTGTACAGAAGTCTAGCTTTCCTTTCAAACCCAGAAAAAGCCAGCCTGCTGGCTGAAGACAGTAATGATGTCACTAACTGGACCACGGTGCAAATATCTCACTCTGCTATTTCCCTCTATTAAGTCCAGCAGTCTGTGCTTGGCTAGCATAGCTCTTTCAAAGCACCATCCTGTCCTGATTTCTATGTATGAAAAGGCAAAAAGCCTCCTGCTCTTCTTGGTAATTTCCTGAATAATTCATTTACCATTTCCTAGTACATCCTATATTGTCCCTGTGTTTATCCCAGCATGGCTAATAATAATGTGCAAGGAGCAGCCTGGTTCCTGACATTCAATAGACAAAATGGTATGAAGACTTCCATATTGTGCTCCACTCATTCACCTCTTTCATCTTCTCTGAAGCAATAAGATACATACATATATCATAGAATCATAGAATAGTTTGGGTTAGAAGGGATCTTCAGAAGTCAACTAGTTCATTCCCCCTGCAGTAAGCATCTTCAGCTAGACCAGGTTGCTCAGAGCCCTGTCCAACCTGACCTTGTCTCCAGGGATGGGGCATCTACCACCTATCATCTGTGACAGTGTTTCACCACCCTCATTGTAAAATAATTCTCCCATATATCTAGACTAAATTTATTCTCTTTTAGTTTAAAACCATTAGCCCTCGTCCTGTTACAACAGGCCCTATTAAAAATTCTGTCTCCATCTTTCTTATAAGCCCCCTTTATTTATTGAAAGGTTACAATAAGGTCTCCCCAGAGCCTCCTCTTCTCCAGGCTGAACAACCCCAACTCTCTCAGCCTTTCTTCATAGGAAAGGTGTTCCAGCCCTCTGATCATTTTTGTGGCTCTCCTCTGGAAATGCTCTAACAGCTCCGTGTCTGTCTTGTGCAGAGGACAAGAGCTGGATGCACTACTCGATATGGGCGGTCTCACCAAAGCAGAATAGAGGGGAACAATCCCCTCTCTTGACCTGCTGGCCACACTGTTTTTGATGCAACCCAGGATACAGTTGTCTGCCTGGGCTGTGAGTGCACACTGCCGGCTCACGTCCAGCTTTTCATCCACTAGTACCCCTAAGTCCTTCTCCACAGGGCTGCTCTCAATCCCTTCATCCTCCAGCCTGTATTGATACCACGGCTGCCCCTACTCAGGTACAGGACCTTGCACTTGGCCTTGTTGAACCTCATGAGGTTCACATGGGCTCACTTCTCAAACTTGTCCAGGTCCTGCTGGATGGCGTCCTGTCCTTTGGCATGTCAGCTGCACCACTCAGCTTGGTGTCATCTGCAAAGTTGCTGTGGGTTCACTGTATGCCACTATCTATGTCACTGATGAACATATCAAACAATACTAGTCCCAGTATGGAGTGGTGAGGGACACCACTTGACACTAATCTCCATCTGGATA